AAGTCTGTTAGCCGTTAGCAACAGTGCTGCTCAGCCCTCAAAAGAGTATTTACTCACGTTGTAGCTGCTGCAAACTATGAAATGGATTTCCTGAATGTGAGGCGGGTCTTATTACTCTGGGTTCATGAGACACGCCTCCGCTCAGGAAATCCATCCCATAGTTTGAAGCCAACCTGCAGCGCAGGTCAGACACAGACATGCATCATGGATCGGAAAGATCCGATACGTAAATTATGCTGGTATCAGAGGCCGATACTGGATCGGCCCCATCCCTAGTTTCAATTTAAAGAAACCGTCCAGAGGACCTGACTTAACTTGTTGGATTTAACTTTGAACATTTTGCACTAGAGCAAAGCTGAGGAAAACTAAGAATCTGAAATTTTGATAAGAAATATATGTGATGGACTGGAGACCTGTCCAGGGTGTCCCCCGCCTCTCGCACAGTGATAACTGGACATGGACACCAGTGACCCCCGTGACCCAAAAAGGAAGAAGCGGGTAAAGAAAATGGATGGATGTTGCCGTTTGTTTGACTAAAAGTATTTCCATTCAGTTGTTGGTACTTCGTTGCAGTGATGCTTTAAAAAAATTTACGGGGGAAACAACAACACAACAAAGAATAACTATAAATGTGAATTTTTTTTCCCTTCATCTCATTTTGCTTAATCATAAACTTTAAGACATTATAAAGCAAATTGTATATGTTTTTGTAATAGTTTGATTAGTTTTAATACTCCCATCAAAAGTATAAAGCGTTGTAAGTTCACGGTTCGTACCAGCAGTGATGATTGTGACGCAGGTTTTTCTCACATTTGGTCAGTGGTGTTCGTTAAATGTGATCCAAGATTGGCCATAATTTTATGAATCATTTGTTTTCCACATTTCTCAAAACGCCTGCTTTGGTTCAGTCACACCAGGTGTTTAACGTCTGATTTATGATCATGTCCACCTCCATGAATGCATGTTTACATAACTGTAAGCTGATTAGGTGTGAAATCAAACACCGTTTAATTTATTTGTTGTAAAGGGAAGTTTAAAACTTACACCTATGCCATAAAGGCACCAATCAGTGGCAGTAATCCCTGAAGCTAAGATTTTTGGAAAATGAACAGACGTGCAGATTTTTTTTTAATTATCTTAATATATTTTCTTAATGAATTGTAATATATGATATTGTCTAAGTATGTTGTTGAAGTGTCTAAATTTCTCATTGTCCTTGTGAGCAGGGGTTGAATTTTTGCACTTCTTGACATGTTTTATCTGTAATTGCAGACATCAATAGAAATTTCCACCCAAATTCGACTGGACTTGATGGTTCAGGAGCGCTTTTAAGAAGATCCATTGGAGTGTCCCACTGTGTTGTCTGTGGGGATTGTAAATACATTTCACCTCAGAGGAAAAACCTGACTAAGAAAAGGCCTAAAAGCTCTAGCCCCAGGTCAGAACCACCGCCTGCTGAATTTAAGAGAGAAGCCAGAATCATTGAAACGCCTGAGGAGGCTGCTGTTCAGACAAATCCACTTCCCAAAGTAATGCTTTGTGATGTAGCTAAAAAATGTGATGCATGTAGTCACAACTGTGGTTATGTGTTGCCACATCTTCTCAAGGCCAAGGTTGTACGTTGCTTCAAACAGGAAATGAAAGCTGGACTTCAGATACTGCCCAGTTGTTATGGTCACAGCAAAGTTGAAAATGTGAAAAGCGCTCTGATTAAAAATCATAAACATAGCTCTAATCTAAAGAAGAAGAGCATAAATAATCCTCAGAGAGTAACTGGACACCAAAAACACCTTGGAGACTCAGACTTGCAGGGATCAACAAGTCCTGCGGAGCGTTTCCACAGTGGATCCACAGAGACTTCTGCTGCTTTCTTAGCAGATAATCAGACAGACTGCAGGTCTGACAAGTCTGTAGAGTCAGAGCCTGTTCACAGAGACAACAAAATGAAGCTCGGAGATGGTGTTGGCTGCAGCAGCACTTTCAGCCCAGCTTTGGAAGAAAGCGGAGAGCTGATGGAAACAAGTGGAGCTCACACATCTTCAGACTTGTTCTCTGAGAATGATGTGGAAGACACAGATGACCCAGAGTCATTTACTTGCCAGAGGGTGAAGGCCTATTTTGGAAAAATCAGTTATTCATGTGCGCGCACATACATGTCCTGGCCGTTTTTAAATTGTCATCCAGCACGTCCAGCTCAGGTTTCTACCTCAGCCTCATCAGCAGGACCTGGTGATCTGTCAGCAACAGATAATTCTGTAACAACGAATCTAAATCAGGCCTGTTCTGCCTCAAACCAAGAGAAGGACACGCTCCAAGATCCATCCTTGGAGAAGCAAAATCGCCTGGCAGAAAATGGGAAAAGCCTTGGCAATCATTCCTCGTGCATGGATGTGTCTGTGCGCTCTGTGCAGCCTGAAGATTCTCCACCCAGTCCTCAGTCTTCTCCAAGTGTACGCAGGAGACAGCCTGGCCTCCATGCAGCGTCTGCTTTACCTTTACCAGTGATGGGGGCTGAAACAGACATTCCTTCCTCCTCAGCACTTGCCCTGAGTGACTGGGAAACGACCAGTGCTTCATCTTCTTTGTTAGATCCATCGACACAAGGTGCTTCAAGCAGCGTTTCAGGAACTCCACGCTCCCTCCCACCTTCACTGGTCATACTGGAGAACGTCAAGAAGCTGCAAACTGTGGACAAACTGTTGCTCTGTGAAGACATCCGTCCGTCTGCCTCTACTTCTCTGTCCTCCGTACCTTCATCCACCTCCTGTCATTCATGTGTCTCCCCCCCACTCCTGCATCAACACAAACACAAGAACAGCACGTTTCCCACAGAAGAGAGCCCACCCAAACTAAAACCATATGATCCAAGTTCCTTAAAACACGAGCGTTCGATTCTGTGCAACCTTACTAAAGAACATTCTGCACAGATGGACTTCTGTGAGTGGAGGCTTCCAACTGTGCTCTCTCCGATCACTTCACCACAGTGCCGCTTGCAGAGGAGAAGTTTCTCTTGCCAGAGCTCAAGTGGTTCAGAAGAAGAAGAGGTGATTGGCAAAGAAGACAACAAAACTAAAGCGTCTCTTGACTGTCCTGTGGTACAAATTGTTGGTGGCAGTAATAAAACCTCAGAGGACTTCCTCACACACATCCCAGAAGAAATGGAAGTTGTCTCGAGTTTGAGAGCTCTGACTGACAGCACTGTGGGGAGACCTGAGTCTACTCCACACAGCAATAAATATGTAAGTGACCAGACCAAAGAGGACAGCCTTGATCATTCTCATCATGAAGAGAGCAACAAAAGTCCAGTTCCCCTGGAGCCTCCGCGCAGTGATGAAGAGGATGACGAATCCTTCAAGGATGAGGAAGAGCATAGAGCTGAAACAGATGGCGACTGTCAGCCTGACGTTCTGGATGAGTTCACGGCATTCGAACGGGACATCCTGCTTGTTGGCGTCACGCAGGACGATCCAGAGCTGTTTCAAAATGTGCCGAAGCAAAGCCTGCTGAAATTAGGTCCTGTCAGACGAGCCGTGAGTCTCGTGAAGACTCCCCCAAAGAAAGTTACGTTCTCGGCAAGTATCGATGAAGCACCCTCGGAGCTCACGCACAGGTAAGGTTTTGTGTGTTTTGGATCGCAGTACAGCCGGGAACAAGTTGTGTTACACGTAACATAAGAAACGTACGTTTGTGTTTCAGGATAACGGCAGTTCCAAGACATTTCCCTGGTGACAGTCCAGGTATTACAGGTGAGGGCTGTCCTCTGGTGTAGCTGCACCAATAAATCACAGACTCAATGAGAAGTCTGTTTATGTAAAACTCCCTCTTGTTCTTTGAGTGATTGAGATGTACACTTTAATGCTCCTAAATTAGACATTTAATCTCTAAGACGTTTAATTTTTGCGTGTTGCAGAGGAGAGTGACAGCAGGCCGTGGAGACCTCGGTGTAGCACCACCCCTACCAATATACAAAACACATGCCCTGCTGCAGACAAGCACACCAGACACGTGGTAATGTAACGGGGTGTACGCCACACCTGCATTGTGGTTCACATAGAGGACACCCCCTCCTGCCCCCTTCATTTTCCAGTTGCACTTTTTAAGACATTTTATTGCAAGGCGTGCGACACGCCAGTGGAAATAATGACGCTGCAGCTCTAGAATAACAAAATATTAATGGGTGCACAGATGCTCTCTGCACACTCAAAATGCAAAGCACAGAATAAAAAGACATGGGATGAAAACATATTGCTTCACATAATGAAAAAAACTTATTTTATTCATCATGTATGTTCAGTTAACTAGGACGTTTCAAAATAAAACGATTACTGCTACGTCCTTGAGTTGAAAATATGTTTGCTGCTGAAGATTAGCAGTAAAGTTTATAGTCCTGATCCAAAGATTACAGTGTTGTTATCAAAGTTCATGCTCATTAATCCAGGTCAAAAATCCAACGTAGTTCAGTCAGGTCACCTGGACGGTTTCTTTCTTTCTTTTTTTTTTGTTGAGACATTTTGTCCTTCATCCACAGGCCTTCATCAGTCCGGGGAGCCACAAACAAACTCAGTCCCACAAGCAGCACACTCACTTAGTGGACCAACCAGTTTGATGGTGATAAGCATATCGCCAATATCACCGTCCAGATGACCTGACTGAACTTTGTTGGGTTTTTTACCTGGATTATTGAGCATGAACTTTGGTGTTTTGAACCACTTTGACTATGGCTGCCTCAGAGGAGTCGATGGTGGAGAGGGCAGGCCCCAGAAACCATCTTATCACCAGCAGACTGGTTGGCCCACTATGCGAGTGTGCTGCTTGTGGGATGTGGGGCTGAGTTTGTTTGGCTCCTCGGACTGATGAGGTCCTTTGGATGAAGGACAAAACGTCTCAACAAAAAAAAGAAACTGTCCAGATGACCTGACTGAACGTTGTTGGGATTCAGCGGTACAGTTGTGTTGGAGGTAGAAGGTTAATTCTGTCGTGTGTTTTCAAGCAGGGTCAGTCTGATGTCAACAGCAATCCAGGAGGTGGCGGCCTGGAAAGGTGCTCGTTTGCACAAGTGACACAATGAACTCTGCTTTAGTGCGGCTTGTTCAGACTGAGCTAATTCTGCTTTTGTTCAGTAACAGGGGTCACACCATCCAGACTGTGAGCTCCCCCAGCATCTCCCCTCTAATGTGTACAGCCACTGGTGAGTGAAATTAAAACATGCTGAAGTTCACACTTTCACAGCTCTTGTTTTTTAAAAGTGAGCTGCCGAGGATACGCTTGAGTTCAGTTGTGATGTGGAAAAGTTGTGAAAGAGTGAAGTTGATGTTTGGCTCCTCTCACAGCACCGTGGCTCAAGAACTCGTCGGACGGCACACCGTTCATGCACCAGAAACGTAACACTGTGAGTATTTATGTGAAGAACCTTTCCTCAAATAACAATTCTATAATGGTACAAACACTGTTTTATAAACCTTTACTCTGCTGGTGATCTCACAATACAGGGTTTCCACATAATTTAAAGATTTGTGAACACTAAAATCAGTGCCTGCTGCTATCTGAACACTTCTGGTATTATTTCATGCACGAATATTATGGGATTTCTGCTGGAGTAACTTTATATTTGTTGTAAAGTGAATAGCAGTCTTCTTTCTGCTGCTCCCTTCTTCAGGGGTCGCCACAGTGAACTAAGTTGCACAAAGACTTGGCGATTGTTTTTATGCCGGATGTCCTTCCTGATGCAACCACAGACCACCGAGCTACCACAGCCCTCTGTGTGGAGCAGAGAGCTGCCATATAGGGTGCCCAGGGAGCAGATGGTGGGGGTTAAGGGACTTGCTCAAGGGCCCAGAGTGGGGCAAACAAAGGTGGAGGCAGGTGTTGGTGTTTCACCTATCCCACCCACATTTTGATGTTGTCAATCTGGGGAGTTGAACCGGCGATCTTCCAATCACAAGCCCACCTTCTCTAACCTCTGCACCACCACTCCCTCATAAAATTGATAGCAGCGTAATAGTTAAAAATTATTACAATTATGTATTATTATTATTATTACAAATTTGTGTTGTTTCCAGATGAAAGAATGAGTTTGGAGTGTCTGCTAGAGCCATTCTGACAGGATTGCTTCTTTCAAACACTATTTCTAAGTGTTTACACCACAGTCCAGCACTACATGGTTATTTAATCAGATAGAGAAATAACGTTTCTGCTGAAGATATATACATCTATATATCTATACATCTATATATATATATATATATATATATATATATATATATATATATATA